TCCACTGCTGTGCAGATGCTCTCAGAGCTTTTGCAACCCAAGGCAAGAAGCCTACCACACACTGCCGAGCCTGCCACTGCTCCCTGCGGCCCAGGACAGCCCGTGCTTCACCCCAACCTCCAAAGAGAACACAAACACTCAACTAAACACTCAACCGCTAAAAAATTCCTGACTTGGACTGAAAGACATTGGGACCAAAGATATTGACTTAGAAGAAAAAACAGGATTGGTTTTATGCTCACATTTAAATAACTGGCTGATCAAATGAGCAACAGGAAGAAAATACCAATTGCTGCTGTAACAACTTGGCTTGGTTTAATTTCTGTTCAAAAATCTAGCTCTCAGCAGTACAAACATGCATCAGTCACCCATGCCATGGTGGTAACGCTATTAACCCCCCCATGCTACAAAAATGATCCGAGGGCTGGAGCACCTCTCCTATGAGGACAGGCTGAGAGAGTTGGGCTTGTTCAGCCTGGAGAAAAGAAGGCTGCGGGGAGACCTGATTGCAGCTGTTCAGTACCTAAAGGGGGCCTATAGGAAAGATGGGGAAAATCTTTTCAGTAAGGACAGCTGTGACAGGACAAAGGGTAATGGTTTTAAACTAAAACAGGGCAGGTTTAGACTAGATATAAGAAAGAAATTCTTTACAATGAGGGTGGTAAAACACTGGAACAGGTTGCCCAGAGAGGTAGTGGAGGCCCCATCCCTGGAAACATTCAAGGAGAGGTTGGACAGGGCTCTGAGCAACCTGATCTAGTTAGCGGTGTCCCTGCTCACTGCGGGGGGGTTGGACTAGATGACCTCTAGGGGTCCCTTCCAACCCAAAACTTTCTATGATTCTATGCTTACAAGTTTCAGTCCCACCACAGCAGGAACACCATGCTTCTCCCTAAACACCCTTTCCAAAAGGGCTGGTAATGCCTGTTCAGGTGCGCCGAAAGGGAGCCGGTTATGCAGCCCTGCCACCGCTTCACTGCAGAGCGAGCCCTTGGGCTCACAGGACCACAGGAGCATTGGTTGGAAGCCACCTCTGGAGATCCGCAGCCCACCCTCCTGCTCCAAGTGGGATTAGGAGAGCTCTCTAGAAGAAAACCTGTGCTGCAGGTGGAAGACTTGGGATTTCAAAGTTTCAGGAGACCCTTGGATAGAGGGGGAAGCTTGAATGGGTTTAAACTTAAAATGTAAAAGGCACAGGCGATAGCACCGTGTGAGTTGTAGGGTGATGCAAATAAAGTAAGCCTGATTTAATGCAACAAACCACAAGCAATTAACAGCTCAACTTCCCATCACAAAGACTTGAAGCACAGCACAGGGTTCCAAGATATCAGATGTGGCACTATGGCTCCGGTCCTTGGCACGCTGTTTCTGCCATGTGCTTGGCAGGCTGTTTGCCAGCGCACAGCACCACGGTGGGAGGAGGGAAGGACGCGAGCGAAGGGCGCAGGAGCACGGCTCCATGCCTCCCAAGCGCCCCAGCTCGGGAGAGGCTGTGCCCCCACCAGGACCTGGTGCAGAGGCAGCAAACTCCTGCAGGGGGGGAAGTGTGTGGGTGAGACATGTGCCTTGCACACAAACCTGGCCCAGCCCCACAGCCCCGCAGAACACAAATCTGGGTAAAACCTTCTTTCCTACTAGCCCACTCTCCCTTCCCTTCTCTCCCCTCCCCACACAGACACAGACTCAGCAAACCGGCAGCCAGCTCAGCACCAGGCTACCTGGGGGTGCTCAGCTCCCAGCCGGCCCTTCAGTCCACATCCCCGCCATCGCCTCTGCTTGCACCCATGCCTTGGAGCAGCAGACGTGGCGTAGAGTGGGGAGGAATTACAGGCCAGCGGAGGGATCAGCAGCGATGACAAAATTACTGGTGGGGAGAGGAAGGGAAAGTGGTTGCAGTTAGAAACCAAAGCCAAACTCTTTGGTTCGGGTCACTGTTGTGGCAGCCACCCCCTGTCCTGCAGCAGGGCAGGGAGAGGACAGTCAAGGCTGTAGCTGAAGCAGTGAGCACTGCCACGAGCAAGGACACAGTCACACAGATCCTGCCCATTCCCTTCCCCTGCTTTATTCCAGGAAAAGGAATAACAACCGTCATGGTCCTGCTGACTCAACCAGCATGGGAGCCAGCTCGCCGCTCTGCCAGGAAATGCCTCTCGTTTGGCCAATCTATCCCTGAACAAGCCTCTCCACAGCAGTGATAAACCTCTCATAAAGCAAGATAAGTAGCAGTGTCTGAGCAAAAAGCCCTTGGCCACGAACATTGGCCAGAGCGCACTGGCTGTCATTCCCACGGCCAAGGATGACACTGGGAGAGTCACTCTCCAGTGATTCCCAACTGCATTTAAAACCCACAGCAGATGGGCACGGGCCCAGAGGCCTGGCGATGGGAAGGGCTCTGAATGTCACCATGCCCCAGCCACCCAGGGCTGAAGGAGGGCCACCAGACAGCAGCACAAGGCCACCACGTGCAGCCGTGCAGGGCCAGCAAGCCCAGGGAGCACATCCAGAGCAGAGGAGCCAAGACAGACACACATCGCCATACCGCTGGCTCCAGCCACGTGCTCCTCAGGATGCAAGCAAATACCCGGCTCATTCACAGCTGCACCAGTTGTGCCACACCAGTGCCGCACAGCACCAGGTAGGAGGGTCACAAGGGCAGCAGCGTGAAAGGAAATGCATGACCTTCCTCCAGCATCAAGATGACCAGCAGTCCCCCAAGAAAGCAAACTCAGGACCGCTCCAGGTAGGGATGCAGCATGGCTAACAGCAACCAGGCAGAGCTGGGGCGCTGCAGCACATCCACCGCCTGCCTCCGTCCCCAGGCTCCAAAGCCAAGTGCTCATCAGTGCTCATCCTTACCTAAGCCTCGCCTCACTGCAGGGCTGGGGCAGGCAGTGCTTCTCCCCTTGGCCTCATGTATACGAGCGGGGCAGCACCATGCCAGGCTGGCAGGCTCCTTCCACCAAACCTGGCCCAAAACGTCCCAGTGGAAAAATTAAAATGAAGGGAGAGAAGAATTTATGGAAGGAAAAAAAAAAGAAAAATCTAGGAAAGTTCCCCTGTGGGACACTTCCAAACTGTTCTGCTTCAAACATGCAATAAAACCATTTTAAAACCCCTAAATAACCTAGAAGCGAAACTGCTTGAGCTGAAGTATCTCATGTGGATTTAAAGCACAGCTGTCTGAGGTCTGAACTCAGCATTTGCTGCTCTCCATTGCCGTAGCACAGGGAGTGCTGCTCTGGGGTGCAACTGAGGTTCCTCCACCAGTGGGCCCAGGCGGGCACTCACCCTGCCCCATCCCCACCACAGCACCCTCAGGCTCACACTGACACACAGGCTCTGGTCCGAACGTGACAGACCACATCCCACCACTCCGACTGGAGGCTTCTGCACAGCAATGGTCTGTGACCAAGCAACATCACTCATGTGGAGCTCTGGAGCCAACGCTGTATTGGGAAAGCCTGCGAGGTCCCATTTGTCCTGCAGCATGCAGCACAAGCGGCTGCGATCCTCGGCCATGACTCAAGGGTGCCAGCGCTGGCATCACCCCACGGAAATGGGGCCATCCCAGAGAAGACGGCACTTCTCAGAAGTCTTCCAAGTAGTGACAAGAGGATGGGATCTGCCCAAGGGTGACTTGGCATCTCACACCCACCTCCTGGAGGGTCCTCTTACTGCGGGGACCGAAACCTTGACCTAAGTGGGACAAACCTGAGGCCAAAGCAACACCACTGA